CCCTCAAAAAGTTTTGTATTACCTGGTTCTGACCGTTCTGTAAAATAGCTTCTTTTTCTTTTTTGGTTGGTCATGGAGCTTGAACTCTGGGCCTGGGTGCTGTCCCTCAGCTCTTCAGCTCAAACTAGCACTCTACCACTTGAGCCACAGCAATACTTCTGGTTTTCTAGTGTTTATTGGAGATAAGAGTCTCATGGACTTTCTTGCCCAGGCTGACTTTGAACTGTGATCCTCAGATCTCAGCCTCCTGAGTAGCTAGGATTACAGGCATGAGCCACTAGTGCCCGGCAGTAGATTCCTTTCCTATGTCTTCTTTATTTAAACATTTTACCTCCCTCTTTTATCTTGTACCTTTCAGCTCATAGCCTTTAAACTCCCATAAGCATCTGGTTTTTTATCAGCTTATCTAAGGTGTGATTTTTATTTTTTTTTATTTTTGTCATTTGTGGGGCTTGAACTCAGGACCTGGGAGCTGTTCCTGAGCATTTTTGCTCAAGGCTAGTGTTCTACCACTTTGAGTCACAGTGTCACTTCTGGTTTTCTGGTGGTTAATTGGAGATAAGAGTCTCACTGACTTTCCTGCTTGGCTGGCTTTGAATCATGGTCCTCAGATCTCAGCCTCCTGAGTAGCTAGGTTTACAGGTGTGAGCCACCTGTGCCTGGCTCTAAGGTGTAATTATTATGCTTCCCTAAATCCCCTTCCCTGCATAGTTCTTGGTTAGCTTGGCTCATGTTCTAAAAAGATTTGGAATATGAGCATGGATGTAGCAGCTGCAATATTCTTTTTACATCTTGAAGGCTGACATGTGGGGCATCAGGTTCTGTTACAGCTTGTACACACTCTGATTTTTTTTTGGCTGGCTCAGCTCCCTTTTGCTGGGCAGCAGCCAGGCCCACTGCCTTTTCAGCTTATCTTACTCTGAGGCCAGCTGTGGTTTTCTCCTTGTCTCCCATGACAGGACAGGGAGATGGTTGTTTTTTTTTTCTATTGTTTTTTTTTTTTTTGTTGTTGTTGTTGTTGTCCTTGTCAGTCATGGGGCATGAACTCAGGGTCTGGGTGCTGTCCCTGACATTTTTTGCTTAGGGCTAGTGTTCTACCACTTTGAGTCATAGTTCCACATCTGGTTTTCTATTGGTTTATTGGCGAGAAGAATTTCTTAGACTTTACTGTCTGGGCTGGCTTTGAACCACAATCCTAGATCTCAGCCTCCTGAGTAGCAGACGTGAGTCATCAGTGCCTGATGGGAGAATGTTTTCTTGAGTTCCAGCATATTCCTGCAGATTCCAGTTTATATTTCCTTCCTCACTATTGCCTTGAGGACCAGGATTAGAAATATAAGCAACAGCTTCACACAGACAGTTTACCCAGCTCCCAACATTACTGAATGTCCTGTCTCTACAATAAGCTCTTGTTTATATTTGACCACTGGTAATTTTTCTTTTCTGACTGAGACTTGGATGATCCTAAAAGTATTTTGCTAGAGCTGCCAGAGCCCTGAAGATAGGTTCAAGTCTTTGATTTGATTAGATTTAAAGGCATTAATGAACTTCTTCCATGATAGGATGCTAGAAAGAGGCCATAACATGCAATATCTTAAAGTATCACCTCTCTGAGAAGGGATGGGTTAGGAGTGATGGGTGACAATGTCAGACACTTTGTATTCATATACTGTTTTGTAGAATGGGAACTTCTTTGTAGAACTACTTAAAAATAATAAAAAATTCAGTATTTGAATCAAGTACTTAGAGAAAGCCAGCCTATGGTAGTTACTGCCATTGAACATTTAAGTAGAATTAAGCCATAGAATGAGTTGGATTATTTCTGAGCATGCTAGAAGTTGTGAAAAGAAAATAATTAACTCAGGGCTCTTAATTCCTAATACAGAGTTCTGGGAGAGGCCTAAAATCTCTAGTGTCCAAGAAGACACTCCTAACCCTCACTGCCATGAGGCTGATACTGTGGAAATCTCATACAAGGTTGTATCATGTGAATGGAGGATAACAACACAAGTGAAATGCATACTTCATAAAGATGTAGTATTAAAGCGAAGCAGAGCTGGTGGCTCATGCCTGTAATCCTTGCTACTCAGGAGGCTGAAATGGGAGGACAGCTATTGGAAGCCAGCCTGGGCAGGAAAGTCCATGAACTGTTTTATCTCCTTTTAGCCACTAAAATATATCTGGAAATGGAGCTACCTGGGATATTTAACCAGATCCAGTCTTAAATGTTTAATTAATAAAGAAAAATTAAAAGCCAGTTGCCAGTGGCTCATGCCTATAATCCTACCACTCAGTAGGCTGATATCTGAGGATCTCGGTTCAAAGCCAGCCTGAGCAGGAAAGTCTGTGAGACTCTTTTTATTTTTTGTTGGTCATAGGGCCTGAACTCTAGGCCTGGGTGCTGTCCCTCAGCTCTTAAGCTCAAGGCTAGCACTCTACCTCTTGAGCTGCAGTGCCACTTACGGCTTTTTCTGCTTATGTGGTGCTGAAAAATCGAACCCAGGGCCTCATGCATGCAAGGTAAGCACTCTACCACTGAGCCACCTTCCCAGCCCCTCTATGAGACTCTTATCTCCAATAAACGACTCAGAAAACTGGAAGTGGCCCAGTGGCTCAAGTGGTAGAGCACTAGCCTTGAGCTGAAGAGCTGAGGGACAGCGCCTAGGCCCAGAGTTCAAGCCCCACAACCGACAAAAGAAAAAAAAAAGAGAGAGAGAGAGAAAAGAAAAAAAAACAAGAAAAACTTTCAGACATGGAGGAAAACTGTACTCAAAAACAGACTACAGTTATATTGTTTAAGTGCACATTTCAAGGGCATGCTCAACATATTTATGTATGGTTGTTTTTATTTTTTTCAGTTCTAGACATTAAACCTAAGATGTGTTTTCTAGTTTCTTTTCTTTCTTTTTTTTGGGGGTCCGGTTGTGGGGCCTGAACTCTGGGCCTGAGTGCTGTAGCTCAGCTCTTCAGCTCAAGGCTAGCGCTCTACCACTTGAGCCACAGCACCACTTCCGGCTTTTTTCTTTTTGCTTATGTGGTGCTGAGGAATCGAACCCAAGGTCTCAGGCATGCAAGGCAAGCGTTCTACCACTGAGCAACCTTTCCAGCCCATGGTCTCCCTAAATTTTGTCCAAATTGGCCTTAAACTCACTATCATCCTGCCTACATATCCCAAATGGCTGGGATTATAGGCATACACCATCACTTCTGACCACTTACGTACAATTTATTTATTTTTTTATTTTTATTTTTTTTTAAATTTTTTTTTTGGGTCCAGTCATGGGGCCTGAACTCTGGGCCTGAGTGCTGTAGCTCAGCTCTTCAGCTCAAGGCTAGTGCTCTACCACTTGAGCTACAGTGCCACTTCCAGCTTTTTTCTTTTTGCTTATGTGGTGCTGAGGAATTGAACCCAGGGCCTCAGGCATGCAAAGCAAGCGCTCTACCACTGAGCCACCTTCCCAGCCCCCACTTACGTACAATTTAAAAGCTTGAGTATTACCTATCTTTGGGATGTGGAAGGGTCTTATGTACAATGATGGAGGAAATCTAACTTAGAAATTTAACTGGGTGGGCTGGGAAGGTGGCTCAGTGGTAGAGCACTTGCCTTGCATACCAGAGGCCCTGGGTTCGATTCCTCAGCACCACATAAGCAAAAAGAAAAAAGCTGGAAGTGGCACTGTAGCTCAAGTGGTAGAGCACTAGCTTTGAGCTGAAGAGCTGAGGGACAGTGCCCAGGCCTGGAGTTCAGGCCCCACGACCGGACCCAAAAAAAAAGAAATTTAACTGGGTTAGCAGTGAAGCAGCAGGTATGAATGAGGTACTTTAGAAAACACCAATATTTAGGTGTTGCAGTAACTATCTCTGTCCAATAAGGACAGGGAAGGGACAGGGAAATTATTCCAAGATTCCTTCAGAATTTGAGAATGTTCCTTCCACACATACAATGATTCAGGCTAAAAACAAAATTGTTTTGGTTTGAATTTTATGCATTAACTCTAGTTATAATAATATCTCACTAGAGAAGTATGCATCAATTTGTTATCATTTGGAGACATAAGAACTTCTTAACATTAGATTCTATGAACTCTATAAAGACAGTAATGAGAAGTCTCAGAAGAAAATTGAAAGGAAAGTGAAGAGTTCATTTAGATAACTAGGATTTGATATTTTGATCATGGAGATAGCAAGGGGATTGAAAGGGGGCTATCACTTGGAGTTTAAATCTTGGAGTCCAACTTGCTTTTAGATGTGAAGATTTGTTAACATCCCAGGAATTCATGGAAACACTTCCCTCCTTCCCCAGTGAACTTCACTTGTCTGCTTCTCTGTCAGCATGGACCCAGGACCTCGTGGAAGCCACATTGCCTAAACCCACAGCTAATTCACCCACTATACTGTAGAGCCCTAAAACAGGGGTTAGATCCATTCACAAGTTTCTCTTGAGACATTGAGCACAAGCAGACATTGCTAAATTAAGTGATGCTTATTATTTTTATCTTAAATTGAGCCAAAGTTGCCCAGTTTCTTTTTATTTTCCAGCACTTTAAAATTCAAATTTGAGGTGGCATAGTAACGAGCTTATTCAGGACTCTGATTATCTTTTTTGTTGTTGATCATGGGGCTTGAACTTGATGCCTTGGCATTGTCCCTGAACTTTTGTGCTTAAGGCTGTCCCTCTACCACTTTCAGCCACAGCTGCACTTCTGTTTTCTAGTGAGTAACTGGAGATATGTCTCATGGACTTTCCAGCTGACAATCAGATTTCAGCCTCCTGGGTAGCTAGGATTACAGGCATGGGCCACCAGCGCTCAGCTTCATATTCATCTTAGATGACTCTTCAGGGTTGTTTCTACAAGCCACTTGAATTGGTAGAGAAGTCATAAGTTGGTAAGAGAAGGTTTTGTTTGTAAGTTGTAGGTTAATTTCAGAAAAGTACAATGCAAGAAATCCAGTGTTTATTCCATGGACACTCTAAGTAATGTATGTTTTTCTACTTCTAGGTGTTCTCTATTCTATGTATAAGGATTACATTAGACCTCGATTCTTCAATGTGTCCAAAAAATGAAGCTATAGGCTGGAAGCAAGAAAGACAAGAGCTCCCGGCAATCCTATGAAGAATGAATTTTCAGTGTGTAGCAAACTGTACTGAAGAAGTATCACACAGAACTCTCCTAGGTTTTGTATTAAGTCTCAAATGTTTAAGAAGTTGACTTCCAAATCCACAGCAGTTGGCTAAGGAACATTCCTTCTTTATTTTGGTAGTGGGTTTTAGGTAGGCATTCCACTATTGAGCCATGCCTCCAGAACTTTTTTGCATGGGTTATTTTGACAGTCTTTTTAGCCAGGTATGTACCTGGACCACAAGTCTCCTATTTTATATTTCCTATCATAGCTGGGATAACAGGTTCATAACAATACACCCAGATATTTATTGAGAAGAGGTCTTGTGAACTTTTTACTCCATCTGCCTTGCAGCTACCAAATACCTAGTATTACAGGTGTGAGCCACCAAACTAGGCTGACAGTTCTTCTAGATACTTTTTCCCTGACTTTTTTCCTTTATTGCAGTACTGTGGATGGAATAAAGAGCATGTAGGTAAGTGCTCTACTACTGCACAAGAGCCTCAGCCCTAAAAAAAAAAAAAGGCATTTCTAACACAGCTACTGGCAAGATACTGCTCTCAGTATATGTTCAGCATGTAAAACAGATTAAGTGTACTTTATTATAGAAGCCAGTACTGGGGCTGGAATTCAGCGTCTTGTGCTCTTGCTTTTTTTTTTTTTTTTTTGGTGTGTGTGTGTGCCAGTCTTGCCTTGGGCTTGAACTCAGGGCCTGGCACTCCTCCTTAGTTAGGTTTGTTTTTCTCCTCAAAGCTCTACCACTTGAGTCACAGCTCCACTTTGTCTTTTTGGTGGTTAATTGGAGATAAGAGTCTCATGGACTTTCTTACCCAAGCTGCTTCAAACCCTGATCCTCAGATCTCAGCCTCCTGAATAGCTAGGATTACAGGTATGAGCTACTGGTGCCCAGTTTCCTTGGCTTTTTTACTCAACTTTCTTGCTTTACTAGTTGAAGCACAACTCCAGTTGTGGATTTTTCCTGTTTAAATGGAGATAAGAGTCTGACAGACATTGCTTCCTAGATTTAATTTTTTTTTTCCAGTCCTGGGGCTTGAACTCAGGTCCTGGGCTCTGTCCCTTAGCTTCTTTGTGTTCAAGACTAGTGCTCTATGACTTGAGCCAAAGCCCCACTTCTGGCTTTTTTTGACTAGTTTATTGGAGACAGGAGTCTCACAGATTTTCCTACTCAGGCTAGCTTCAAACTGTGATCCTCAGATCTCAGCCTCCTGAGTAGCTAGGATTATAGGTATAAGCCACCAGTGCTTGGCTTAAATATTTTAAAAGTATTTTTAAAAATGATTTCCAAAGAACTGAGGGACAGCATCCAGGCCCAGAGTTCAGGCCCCACGACCTGACCAAAAAAAAAAAAAAAAAAAAAGATTTCTAAGTACAAGTTTTCACTATGTTGCCCAGGCTGGCCTCATCTCGCATCAGACACTGCACAGAGAGTGATTTTTGTTACAAAATCCAACAGGCTCTCTAATATTATAATGCTACCAAGTAAATGAAAATAATACATTTGTTTTACTTAGAAAAGTTAATGACAAAGAAGTGGCGCTGTGGCTCAACTGGTAGAGCGCTAGCCTTGAGCTGAAGAATTGAAGGATAGCGCTCAGGCTGAGTTCAAACCCCACCACTGACAAAAAACAAAAACAAAACAACAACAACAACAACAAAAAGAAAAGTAATGACAAGTATTTATTAATTAAAAGCAGCTATGCATGAAATCTTACAAACTGTTTAAACCATGTTGTAAAACTCACATTTGGAGAAAAGTTGAGAATAATGTTCATTTTTCTACTTCAGCTTGGGTTGATGGGAGGGCCACTGTGGGAAGACTCTACAAACAGATACTGTATAATACCTGTGTTTGCAAAACACTTCCTGGGCAAAAGCTTTAGTGCTCTAATGTCTGAAAAACTTTTGTGTGTGTGTGTGTATGTGTGTGTGTGTGTGTGTGTGTGTGTGTGTGTGTGAGCACTAGTCTCTGAGCTTTTTTGCTCAAAGCTAGCCTTCTATCAGTTGAGCCACAGCTCCATTCTGGCTGTTATGGTGGTTAACTGGAGATAAAAGTCTCACAGACTTTCCTGTCTGAGCTGGCTTTGAACCACAATTCTCAGATCTCAGACTTCTTAGTAACTAGGATTACAGGTATGAGTCACTGGTGCCCGGACTGAATTGTATTCTTGGTACAATTGTACTTAGGTCCTTGTGATCTCTCCATCTTGCCTGTGTCCCCACCTTGATGCAACCCACCATCTGACATAGCCAAAGTGCTCTCATTAGAGATGGAAATTTGTGGCACCATGTATCCAATCCTCCAGAACTGTCAGCTAAATAAATCTCTTCTAATAGAGCAACCTGCCTCAGGTATTTTGTTATAGAAACAGGAAAATTATAATGCATAAGGATACTTCACAGAGAAATTCAGAATGGTAAATCATATATTAGAGAAGGATTAAGTGACTGGGTTTTTTTTTGAGAGAACATTTTTTTAATATTCCATAAAGGTTCTGAATGTTTAATCTAGACTTACTGTATATATGGTACTCTTTTTATTGTTGGTTGCTCATGGGACTTGAACTCAGGGCCTAGGTGTGCCTGAGCTTTTTTGCTCAAGGCTAGCATTCTACCACTTGGAGCCACAGTACCACTTCCAAGTTTGTTTATTTGTTTTTGGCTGTGGGGCTTGAATTCTGGGCCTAGGCACTGTCCCTCAGCTTTTCAGCTCAAGGCTAGCACTCTACCACTTGAGGCACAGTGCCACTTCTAGTTTTCTGGTCATTTAAGAGTCTCATAGACTTTCCTGCCCAGGCTGGCTTTGAACCCTGATCCTCAGATCTCAGCCTCCTTAGTAGCTAGGATTACAGGCCTGAGCCACCAGCACCCAGCTATATGGTATTCTTAAATTACATGCTTGTACATTACATCTGCCCCACTTTTATGATATAATAGACTCTTCGAGGTTAATAAATATTAAAACTAGCTGATACTTGTGAATTTTTTTTTTTTTTTGCCGGTTGTGGGGCCTGAACTCTGGGCCTGGGCGCTGTCCCTCAGCTCTTCAGCTCAAGGCTAGCGCTCTACCACTTGAGCCACAGCGCCACTTCCGGCTTTTTTCTTTTTGCTTATGTGGTGCTGAGGAATCGAACCCAGGGCCTCAGGCATGCAAGGCAAGCGCCACTGAGCCACCTTCCCAGCCCCACTTGTGAAATTTTATAAAAAACCATTTGATACATGCTAAATGTAGAAAGTTTTAGCATCTGGATACAAAGCAGATGAGACATTTCATAATTCTGCAGCCTATGCAAATTTAGCTGGCAGGAAGGGACTAGGAAAGCAATATTCACTTGTTCTGTACTTGGTTTGTATACTCAGGATTTGGAACCAGTTCAAGAACCTGGATATGCTCTGGGTGGTTAGATCAGAGATTGATTTGGAGTGGTACTTAGCCCTTTCTGTACCTCCATTTCACAGCTCCCACATGTCTTTCATCATGCCCAGGCCACCAGTTATGTTTCCACTAATTACATTGTCTTTTCAATGTCCTATTCTTCATCTGTGTTTGATGGCTGCTGCTGCTTGGTTTTTTGTTTTTAAGATAGTGTTCTAATAGTAGCCCAGGCTGGCATTAAACTCGTGATCTTTCTGGGTAGTTAGGATTGCAGATATGAGCCACCAGCTCCTGGGGCACATATTAATTTTATTATTTTCAGTTTTAAGGTCAGAAAGTCTCTACGTTAGGTTACAAGGTCAGGTTTGTTTGTTTATTTTTGTCTGAGACCACGGCTTGAACTCTGTCTGATGCTTTCACTCATTGGCTGGCACTCTACCATATGCCACCATCAATGTTGTATTTTTTTTTTTTTTTGCCAGTCATGGGGCCTGAACTCTGGGCCTGGGCGCTGTCCCTCAGCTCTTCAGCTCAAGACTAGTGCTCTACCACTGGAGCCACAGCGCCACTTCCGGCTTTTTCTGTTTATGTGGTGCTGAGGAATCGAACCCAGGGCCTCATGCTTGCAAGGCAAGCACTCTACCACTGAGCTACCTTCCCAGCCCCATCAATGTTGTATTCTTATCTGACTTTTTTTTTTTTTTTTGGTCAGTCGTGGGGCTTGAACTCTGGGCTTGGGTGCTGTCCCTGCACTCTTCAGCTCAGGGTTTTCTGGTGGTTTATTGGAAATAGGAGTCTCACAGACTTTCTTGTCCCAACTAGCTTTGAACCATGATCCTCAGATATCAGCCTCCTGAGTAGCTAGGATTACAAGCGTGAGCCACTGGTGCCTGGCTTATCTGACATCTTAAGAGCTCCTCAACTGAGGAATGAGTATCTGTTTGGAAAATTCCCTGCCACTCAAAGGACAAAACCATAAAAAATGAAGCTAAGCAATGTCTCAATTAACATATGAATAAAACAATATTTATATGCTAATATATTATTGAGTTACTTAAGTATTGTAATAAGGCAGAGAGATCAGATATTTACCTTTGCTGGTGAAGATGAAAGTGATGTTCAAAGCCACAAAAAGGCTGCAGGGTTTGCAGACTCAACACCTTGGGAGCCAAAAGAAATTGTGGATATGGAGGGGTATTGCCCACAACATTGAAAATGGATGGCCATGATTCAGTTCCAGCAAACTGGACTTCCATGCAGAAATGTGGGCCCGGTGCTGCAAATCTTCTGAGTCTTTAATCAGATAATTATGAAAAAAAACTTGTCTTTATTGGATTGCTAGGGAATCAAATACAGGATCTTGTACAAGGTAGGCAAGTGCTCTACAACTGAGCTACACCTCCAGTCCAATTTGAATTCTTAAATATGAACTTTTTTCATTACAAAAAGTATAAGGGAAAAAAAATCCTGATTAGGAACAGGGGTAAAAAAAGTGAGCAGGCAAGCAGCTAGTGATAAGTAGACTAAAGCTCTAAGTTCCACTCTAGTACTAATCTCATACTATTTGGTATAAATATCCTAAAAATGAAATGCTTGGCATTTCCTAGGAGATTAAACAATAAAAATATGAGCCACTCCTAGCAACTGAGTCAGTATCTAAAAATGGTATTTGCAGTTAGTGGGAAAAGTGGTAAGAAAAGACATTGTGGAATTATGAAAACGTTAGAAAGATTAGTGCCTTTGTTATCTCATGCTATTAATAACAGTTATATGTTATTAATATTTTCTTTGGGCTGAGTTACATTATAGCATAAAAAAATAAATCATTGGTTCAAGTATGGCTTCTGGATCTTTTACTACCTAGTAAGCCAGTTGACAAATACCATCATATTGCTTTTTAATAGCTAGAAAAAAATTCAAGAACAGAGACCACAATGACAACAATAGTTAAAAAGTAAGTTTGCTATCCTATGTTAAATATGATAATCAAATTGAAATTATGTTTTCTTTAGAAATGATGTGCTAGTGCTAATAGACATCTTGGTGTACTCTTGGTCCATGACAGTGAAATAAAACTTAACTGGCAGAGTAAAGTACCACTTTAAAAGATAGTCAGTTTGACAAAAGGGAAAAACACATTATTCCCTTTCCTTTCTTCTGATCCAGACAAAAATATCTCATTTCCCTAAATAGTATTTAAAAAAAAATCTATCAGTTTTGGATAGCTTTAAAATTCTACTTAAACTGATATGTTCAGGTTTATATATACATATACATATATACTTTATAAATCCCAGAAGTCAAGAAGCCTATAGTAATGAGTGGCCATCAAAGGCCAATCATCCAATTCTGGCCATTGAACGACTGTGTAAGGTGGGTGGGTCTCTGACCTACACTTGGAGCTGTCAGCTTTTACCCCTGTTCCCATAAGGAAATTGCCTTTGTTCAAAATACTTGAACAAAACTCACCTCTGAACTATCAGAGATATGCTAATAGACACATGGCACAAAAGGGATTAGGGAAAGTGTTAATAGTCTCTCAGGCTGTTCGTCATCTAGACACAAGTAAGTCAGCATCCATGGTATTCAGAAGGTAGAGTTCAGGCCGAGCTGTCAATCCCAGATGGTACTAAGGACAAAAAGATAAAAGATAGATGATTTTCAAATAGTTAAGATAGTGAGATGGACACATTGATTATATACCTATAATCATATTATTTACCTATAATTATGTTAATTACATAATTACATATTATATACCTATAATCATATTAATTTAGGACTTTTAAAAAAAAAGTGCAGCTCTATTTTTATCTCAGAGAAGAAATGGCTTAAACATACAACACTGGATTCTAATGTTGAAAGTAATAAAAGCTGACATAATAAGGATGGAGGTAGTACCAAAAGCTGTTACTAAAATCAGTGCTGTGACTATCCTAATTAGATTTCCAATGGCCTAAATCCTGAGCTCTATAATTTTTGCCCTTTTACTGAACAGAGAAAAAATCTTCTATTAAAAACAATGAAAAGATAGCTGAGCCCAGTGGCATGTCTATAATGCTAGTTACTTGGGAGGATGAGAATGCAAGGATTATAATTCAAGCCTGGCTAGAAAAGTTTGCAAGACCCATCGTTGAGTGCAGTGGTGTGTGTGTGTGTGGGGGGGGAGGGTGGAAGGAATTCTCCATGGGAGATTGAGATTTTGAAGATCAAATTTCCAGGCTAGCCTAGTAGAAAAGTCCCTAAAACTGCAGCTCAAAAGAGGGAAGCTCTATGGAGGCACAAGTCTATCATCCTATCAACTATGGGAAACCTAAATTAGATGATCATGGTCAAAGCACATATCAAGGCAGGAAGTGAGACCTTATCATAAAGGGAACCAGTAAAAAAAACAAGGCTGGAGGCATGGCTCAGCAGTATAGCGCCCACATAACAAATGAAGACACCAAGTTCAAACCCCCCAAAAGGAAAGGTAATATGCTAAAAGAAGGACAATCTACAGATCCCAGAGTTTACCAAATGGAATCAGAATTGCCTTAGTTATCTTTAATGTATAGTTCCAGGTCCAATGTCAAGAGAAGTGAATCCAGATGCTTTGTGCTGAAAGTACTATGAAGTTACAAGTTTCTATTATTTTCTATCCCTAAATATAACAACTTTGGACAATTACCCTTTGTTATAAACTAGAGCTTTAGGAATATTCTTGCCCTTTGAGAACAAAAGCTTATAAGACAGAAGGCAGATTATACATCTGTAAAAAGTACACTATTGGGATGTTTCCAATAGAGCTGGGTTTAAGACACAACTCTATCCCTTCCTATGACCTCGATCCTGTCCTGTGTCTTTGAATCCTTATTCTACTTATGTGGAAAAATGGGAATGATTACTATGTTGGGAAAGACCAAGTACACTAGTACTTGAAGAATAACTCTTGTTATTCTCCAATAAGTATATTTAATACCTTATGCATGAGCTGTATGACCTCAGGAAAGTGGTGATGATGTGCAAAGATGTGTGAAGATGACACAGACCAGATGATGCTCAGGACCAAACCATTCCCAACAGTGGGCTAGGAAGATGCTGGGGTGGAATTGGCTTTAATTAAGGCCAGGAAATGGTTCTTTGGACCAGCTTGCTTCTTCATTTTAAGGTCTTATGACCAGAGTTCAAGGGCCACGACCGAAAAAAAAAATCTTATGATTACAGGCTCCAGTGACTATCAGTCATTGTTAGACTCACTGGTAATTCATTAAAACCTTTTCTGTATGAGCAAAGATGGTGGACTTCCTCATTACAGAGTAAGCAAAGCTTGCATTACTAGTTCTATGGCACCATGTTTCACTTAGTTAAATGAGTAGGTAGAAGTCCATCATTGGAGAAGGGTTTCATGTAGTTCTGAGATACTAATGTGTGGCTAAGTGGCACGGAAATAAGCTAAAACATTTTGGGGAGCAGAGACTTTATACAAGTCAGTATACCTATACTAGCTCTTAGCTATTGCCAGGTAGGACCACGAAGAACTGTGTCCATTTTCTACCTTCCAAAAGCACAAACCAAAGTCTGTGGGCAACTACTAGCTAAAACATTTTCTAGGGCTGGAGCATGGCTGTAGTGGTAGAGTACCAATCTAGCAAACTTAAAGCTACCAAAGATAATACAATTTTAAAGGCAACTTCTAGCTGGGAGTCAGTGACTCATACCTGTAATTCTAGCTACTCAGGAGGCTGAGATCTGAGGATCACAGTTCAAAGCCAGTCCAGGCAGGAAAGTCCATGAGACACCTCTCCAATTAGTCCCCAGAAAACTGAAAGTGGTACCATGGCTCAAAGTGGTAGAGCACTAGCACCTTGAGCAAAAAAACCCCTCAGAGACAGCACCCAGGCCCTGAATTCAAGCAAGATCAACAACAAAAAAAAGTAATTAAAAATAAAAGGCAAATTCTAATACTATCCAGAGCATTTTCTGTCTTATGGATTTTTGTTTGTTTGTTTTTTGAGATAGGGTTTTTCTATCTAGACCAGGCTGGCATGAAACTTGCAACCTTTCTACCCTCAATGCTAGGATTACTTGCACATACCATCATGCCTGGCTTAAATGTTCTGTTGTTTATTGGTGCTACTAAAGAACCAAGCTTGGTAACCTTATCCATTATGAAAGATATACTATATATTACACAGGAAAGTTTGAAAATGAGTATGTGGGCTCTAATATTAAGCGAGTCATGTTCAACTGCCAACCCACTTTCAGCAATGTGATAAGGGCAGTTACTTTTGACACTTCAGATGCCTCATGAATATAGAGACTAAGCCCCTTGTTAGAAGGACTAATGAGACAGCACAAGTGCTCAGACCAGGACTACCACATAGAAATGACTTTTATATTCGTACATTTGTAAGGGAAAGGCAAACACGGACTCTACCAGTGAAAGAGGAGAATGCATTGCAAAGGACAGAATTAGAAGAACTGTTTCAAATACAGATCTTCAGGTTGCTTTGTGTCCTATTTCAATTCTAAAATTTAAACAAAATTAACAAGAGCTAAATAAAGTAAGTCAACTTGGAGAAACTCTAGGGGATTACAGTATTTTGCTCCTAAGACAGGCAGGAAAGCATATGGGCAGAAAAGGAAAATGAAATACTAATGTTGCTCAGGATAAATTAAGGGCTGACTTATGTTTCTCCACTTGTATTTAATAACAGGTGACAATATGTCCACTTATGTCATATGTCTGCCAAATGCTTACTTGTTCATAAGCTAAGCAATTTTGATTCTTCTCTTTGAATATTTTTTCTGACAGCAAAGATAGAATGTACAAACCTATCTGACTGGTGAAATGAGACTTCAGATACAGTTATATAAGATGAATGTCTACTTAGTTGGAGTGAAAAAAGGCAGAATAAAGTTTCAAGTTGAACTCTGGTAATGATGTGACATTCAGCTACAACAACACTGCCCGTGGGAAAACAAAAATTAGTGTTTTAAGTGTTTGAAACTAATCCAAAGTCTATTAAGGACTAAAACCATGCCTCTGAGTGATGTGTAAACTTATTTCTCTCTCTCTTCAAGGAGTGAAACACTAACAGTGTGAGCACAGTGTCCATCTTTAGTTGGTAAGTGACATTTTGGTATCTACTTATCAAAGCTGTTGAGACCCTATTACTAAGTATTTTCAAGGTCAAAAAAATAACCAGGAAACAAAATTGGAAAAAGAAAAAAATTTTAATTACAAATTGAGTTTACATTTTAAATGTTCACTAAAAGCTCCATTGTGAGTACTCCTGACACCCCTAGCAGGACCTCGTGGGAACCAGGTGAGGCTCCTTTAACCCTGTTAATTCCCAGGACACTGTAGCAGAACAGTTACTCCATGTCACATTTAAGGAGAACAAGAACCAATTTACAAGAAGTACAATTGTATATCCTTGAACATTTCACACAAACATACTGCCAAAATGTAACATATGCCAAGTGTGCAGACTGGCATTGGGGGACTTTTTCTTTTGAAAACATTGTTTTTGAGATGAAGTGTTGCTCAGTATCTCAGGCTGGCCTGGAACTCAGGATCATGCTGCTCAGCTTCCTGAGTGCCAGGATTATAGGTATACACCACCATGCCAGTAGGAAGACTTAAATTTTTACACATTGTACAGAGAACTGTTGTGATGGACTTTCCCTCTGTAAGACCCAAAGGGAATAAAGGAATGTTTTTGACATGGTAAAATATTACACTTATAAAATTATAAAATGCCATTTAACTGGGAAGACATTTTTTCATTCTAAGCCATAAATGTTATTTTTAAAGAATTCTAGGGCTCAGGTTGTACCTCAGTGGTAGAGTGCTTGCCCAGCATGCGTTAGGCATAATGCATGGTTTGAGCTCCATGATGGCACAGAAGAAAAAAATTAGCAGCTTTTGACTGGGCTTCTAAATGTTTCTAAACGTGTGGACCCACCCACACAAGGGCAAAGGTACAGAATCTCTATACGGAATTAGTGTATGTATATGTTGTATCAAGTTGATGTTTACCTACTGGTACCTACAAACAAAGCTTATGACATCAGACCCTGTGACCATCTTCAGGACCTTTAGGATGGGTTTGGGAAACAAGAGGGAGGAGTGGAACACCATGAGGAGAAACATGGAGAACAATTGTAATTGTGTGTGATATTGAGAGGTTAAGTAAATTCACAGTGAGTGAAACACAGTAGTTTATCCTGAATGCCTTCGAAAAGACAGTCCATCCAGGTTGTGCTTGGGCTGTGTGCAAAAAAAACAGTCACAATGCCTCTGGGACCAGATAAGCAGAGCACACCAATAACACGGCGCTCCGGAAGGAAAGCTCCAAAGATGAGAAGTTCTTCAAGCCATTCCTTTTCCCTTTCTCACCAAGATGATGGCCAGGAAGGAGTTTTGTTCATTTATGTCCACCTGACAGCTGTGAATGACTTGACAGAATCTGTGTCAACCTAAGTAAAAATGTCAGAAGTGGCTGAAGCTCCAAGCTGAAGACACCCTTTCCTGTACTCCAGAGCTCCGCCTTCTGGCATCAGATTTTCCCTCTTAGGGAACAGCTGGAGAGTCCCACCTAGCTGAGAGGGGTCTTTGTAACCACAGTGCCACCTACTGACTTATGGAAAGGAGGAGAGGATAAGAGAAAAAGCAGGAGAGTGAGAGCAAGGAGAGCATACTTCCTATTAGGTCTATAGCCTTCGAGATTACCTGCTAGTCATCTTGGGCATCATCAAGAATAATATGTGAGAAAAACACTCTGCTGAGAGATTAATTTCAGGAATAACATTGATGATTCTTCTTGCACTTTTGAGACCTTTCTCCATACCTCCAAGGTCTCCCAAGAATATCAGTTCATAAATGCTATCATCTTTTGTTATCACCACTCTCTCTGACAGAAAAGGGAAATGCTAATAACCAAACATGGTCAAAATAAATATAATCAGGAAATCTGTTACTACCAAGAATAAATATCATCAGGAAATGTTAACATGATTATTACTAATCTCAGGACTGTAGTCTCTGAGGAATACCTTCAGTAGGTAGATGATTAGTAACAATTCCCTCTAGATAGGGAAAGTGGAAATAAATTTTAAAAATCCTGAGCCCAACAGATTCTCGGTCTCTGTCTCTCTGTTAGTAGTATGGAGGATTGAACTCAAGGTCTTGTACTTGACAGATGAGCACTCTACTCCATGAGCCACACTCCAGTCTTTTGGCTTTTTTGGTTTGTGTTCAGAACCTTGACCTTTTGCTCTGGAATAGATTCAGACCACAATTCTCCTACATCTGCTTCCCAAGAAGCTAGGACTGCAAGCATGAACCAACATGCCAAGATTTTTTTTTTTTTTGGTTTTCTTTTTCTTTTTTTTTTTTGTCAGTTATAGGGCTTGAATTCAGGGCCTGGGTGCTGTCCCTGAGCCTCTTTGTGCTCAAAGCTAGCATTCTACCA